CCACAAAGGATGGTGCAGATTTGGGAATCTTCCCAACGTCCTCAGCCATGAAGATTGAAGCAAAGAAATCATTTAGTTTCTCCGCAATGGCTTTATCGTCCTTGATTGCTCCTTTTATAGCTTGATCATCTAGGGGACCCACAGGTTTTTTATCAGGCTTCCTGCTTCTAATGTACTTAAAAAACATTTTGTTATTTCTTTTTGAGTTTTTGGCTAGCTGTTCCTCAAAATCTTTTTTTGCTTTTCTTATTACATTTTTACACTTGATTTGACAGTGTTTATGTTCCTTTCTATTTATCTCACTAGGATTGGCCTTCCACTTCTTAAAAGATACCTTTTTGTCTCTCACTGCTTCTTTTACATGGCGGTTAAGCCACAGTGACTCTTTTTTAGGTCTCTTGCTATGTTTTTTAATTTGGGGTATACATTTAAGTTGGGCCTCTATTATGGTGTCTTTAAAAAGTTTCCATGCAGCTTGCAGGGATTTGGCTCTAGTCATTGTGCCTTTTAATTTCTGTTAAACTAACCTCCTCGTTTTTGTGTAATTCCCCTTTTTGAAATTAAATGTCAGAGTGCTGGACTGCTGAGGTGTTTTTCCCACCACAGACATGTTAAATGTTATTATATTATGGTCACTATTCCCAAGTGGTCCTGTAACGGTTATCTCCTGGACCTGATCCTGCGCTCCACTCAGGACTAAATCGAGAATTGCCTTTCCCCTTGTGGGTTCCTGTATCAGCTGCTCCAAGAAGCAGTCATTTAAGCCATTAAGAAATTTTATCTCTGCTTCTCTTCCTGAGGCAACATATATCCAGTCAATATGAGGATAATTAAAATCTCCCATTATTATAGAGTTCTTTATTTTGGTAGCCTCTCTAATCTCCCTCAGCATTTCAATGTCAGTATCGCTGTCCTGGTCAGGTGGTCGGTAATATATCCCTACTGCTAATTTCTTAGTATTGGAGCATGGAATTACTATCCATAGCGATTCTATTGAGCATGTTGATTCATTTAATATTTTTATTTCATTTGATTCTACATTATCTTTCACATACAGTGCCACTCCGCCACCCACTTGGCCTGCTCTATCCTTTTGATATATTTTATATCCCGGTATGATTGTGTCCCACAGATTTTCCTCATTCTACCAGGTTTCAGTGATGCCTATTATGTCAATCTCCTCATTTAATACGTGGTACTCTAGTTCACCCATTTTATTAGTCAGACTCCTAGCATTTGTGTCATCCTTCGGGTCCATACTGGGACTAATCCTATTCAACATATTCATAAATGATCTGCAGAAAGGGGTAATCAATGAGGTGACAAAATTGCAGCTGATACCAAACTGTTCTGCAAAGAGCTTCAAAAAACTCACAAAAGTAGGTGACTGGGCAACAAAATGGCAGATGAAATTCAATGTTGATTAATGCAAAGTAATGCATATGGAACACATAATCCCAACTATATGGAAAAAATGATGAGGACTAAATTAGTATAGGAAAAAGAAAAAGCCTGAAGCACTGGCCTGGTGTAAAGCCTGAGGCAAGCCCTGTCAAAAGCAGGTGTTTGTCTGAAAGTTTGGACATGAACTAGGCACTAGAACTAGCACTGCTAAAACACATGGAATACATAAATATATTACACCAGAGCAATACAAGGACACCTCAATCAAGCACACTATAAAATAGTTTGACAAAAGTGATGAATAGTGATATTTTGTCTGAAACATCAGGAGTGAAAGCACAATAACTGGTGGCAAATAGGAATGTTTGTCTGAAATATCAGAAGGAAAATACAAGGGAAGGTAACAAACATGTTATTAACACGTAAAATGATACGGAAGGTGTGTATCATAGATTATTTGCCTCAGCCTATAAACGTTGGGGTACCTCAACTTAACTCTTTGCTCAGCGGGGGCAGTGGCAAATCACATGCTACATCCATTGTCACGGGCAGGCATTCTTAGTATCCTTGTAAAATCTACCAGATGCCATTACTGTGCTTCGTTTACAACAACACTGACTCTGGAGCCTTCATATCTGTGGTCCTTGGGGGCTGTCTCAAGGTCTGTTGTGTTGGCTACATGCGCAAAACCAGCATGACATACAGAGAGAGCGAACATGCCCACAGCCAAATGGTTATCTTCACTGACAGAGCAAGAGACTTGTCAGGACACCATACTGGTGCCTTCTGACCAGCCACAATTAGTTGTTACTGCTCAAGAGAGATCTTGGAGTCATTATGGATAGTTCTCTGCAAACATTCATTCAATGTGCAGTGGCAGTCAAAAAAGGAAACAGAATGTTGGAAATCATTAAGAAAGGGATAGAGAATAAGACAGATAGTATCTTATTGCCTCTACATAATTCCATAGTATGCCCACATCCTGAATACTGCATGCAGATGTAGTCACCTCATTTCAAAAGAGGTATCTTGGCACTGAAAAAAGTTCAGAAAATGGCAACAAAAACTGTTAGGGGGTACAGAATGGCTGTCATATAGGAGAGATTAATAAGACTGTGACTTTTGAGCTTGGAAAAGAGACGACTATGGGAGACTATGATAGAAATCTATAACTGGTAAAGAAGAAAAACTTTAAAAAAAAAAGAATAGTCTAGCAGCACCTTAAAGACTAACAAAACATGTAGATGGGATCATGAGCTTTTGTGGGCACCGGCCACTTCTTCAGATGACTGAAGAGTTATTTACTCCTTCCCATAACAACAGAACTAGGGATCACTAAATGAAATTAATAGGCAGCAGGTTATCTGGACTTCTTGGGTCCTCGGTAAGCTGTTGTCAGCAGGCTGCCAAGTGGAGGGCTGTGCATATGACTAACTGCTGATTTTTATGCAGTTAAAATATAAAAAGAAAGAACACCCCTTAGCTATCCAACTTACTGTGTGCAAATCAGAGCTTACCAGGGTAGACGTCTTCTTGAGCAACAGGCCAGTCAATATGCCATTGGGGGGATATGAAGTGCATAAAGATCACTCAGGGCTTGGATTTACCTTGTGCAGATCAGGAATAAGGTCCTGGTACAAAGAACGAATCAGCATGTCTAGAGTGCGCTGCCGTTTCTGAGCAAATGTTGGTGTTTCCAAGGTGGCTTTTTCCCCATTTATTACTAAAACACATAAAAAAAAGGAAGATGTGTTACTTATGGGGTTTCATGTCCTTTACAGAATCCAAGTTGTCTTTATCTAAGGATACTCACTTCAAAATTACTAATTTGGATTTGTTTCACATTTGTGCTTAATTTTGAATTAAAAATTCTAGTTGTTTTGAAGAGTTTAATGTTATTTGCTTTTGAGCATCTAAACTTTATTACGTTATTTATTTACAAGCATGTAAATTCCAGAAACTGTTTCACAGTCAATTTAAATGTGCTGAAGTTCTTTGATATATGACAAAAAAATGTACCACTGTACTGTCAATGGCACAGGTGTCAGGCCAGCTGCCTTAGACTGTAAAATTGAAAAGGTCACAGAGGTTCCTTCTGGGCTTTACTAAGTTCAATGTAAAGCTCAAACACTGATGTAATTGATATAGGGATGTTAAACATTGGTTAATTGAACAGTTAAGTAACCTCATTAAATTTTATCAGTTAGTCAACTAATCTATAGTCCCTGAGGGTGGGGCCAGCAACCACTGTATCAGAGGCAGCAACATGGGGTGCCAGGTGGAAATTGGTCTGCGAGGGGAGCCAGTTTAAAAACTGTGACTGCTAAGAGTTCGATAACCCAC